GTGGAATATACAAACTATGTATCATCGGCTCCACTTGACAGATAGATTGCATGACCATTATTTCTGTACTTCAAATAATAAGTGCATTTATAGAGTTTCCATATTTCCAACACTTCTTAACACGGCTATGTAAAGGTAGAATCAAGCTTTCTTCTCTTTTGTTGAACATTGATCCTTTTTAAAGCCACTTGACAGTTATCAGTGCTTATTTAACGCCTTACTTCACGTAACACGCCTATTATATTGACGTCAAAATGACGGGTTATATTTATCTGAATAAAATATGGAACTCTGCCAATTATGTACAATTATAAAATTCAATTTAAAATATGCTTCAATTATACCAGCGCGCATATAAGGGGTCAACCAAAGTGCCAGGGGGCAGTTTGGGATGTAACGTACATGTTCATTCAAACGGGAATCAAAACAGCAAATACGTTTTCGAAAAATACGAAAGAAGCATGTACGTAACGTAGATGCTATTCCAACGAAAAAAAAACAGAAAATACCTTAGAACATGCCATATATTATTTCGCTGCGTTACATTTTTCTACGCTGACCGTTGGCACACAGTTATGCTGCACCAGCGAAAGATTTCTCAAATGTTTAGGAGTGCGTGAGAATTAAATTTTGTGAAACCGCAATTTATGCCATAGATTAGCTGCGCCATCTCGTGCCGGTCGCTCCATATCGAAAGAACGTGTTGACTCTTACTCACTCCTAGGTGACGCCACCGGCAAAATACGCGCGCGATTCCGCACCACTTGCCTCATGCTGGAATCGGATTTCAAGCCACCGTCGCCACTATCCGTCGTCATCCTCTTCTGAAACTTCTCGTCATCAAGTGTTGAAGATTTCTTGCATCGCACATGTTTTTCACATTTTCGTATTTCACGAGGCATCTAAGGTTCCTGCTCTTAATAAATGTCTTAACTGTTTCCGTGAAAATATGTGACGGCATCTCCTATGAACGTGCACATTTCAATCGTGTCATTTTGCTTTCCGTTGGAGAGCCCTCAGGACATGCCCGGATCACAAAAGAATGAATTCTCACTCCTATTGCCGGATCGTACAGCTGAGCCGTCTAATTCATCCTAGTCACAAGGACGCTGAAATATTTGCGTCCGTATTCAAACAAAAAGAGAAAAAGCAAACGGGTTCAGCTCACAACTGGTACAAATTACCCGCACAGCTGTACACGTCACATGTGGCTTTTCGTACAGAGCGAAACCGAATTTCCGCAGAGAGACGTCGCTGTGCGCCTCAAATGCCGCTTATAGAAACATGCAAGTTCGAAACGTCGTGACTTCAGTATTATTCTAGGTGTATTTGGAATGGTGTAGGGCTCCTGGCGTTGCTTGAACGAGTACTTCAGCTGAATACGCACTTCGTCGGGTTAAAAAGAACTGCGTATTTAGCAGTTCACCGTGCCAGGAGACTTACGTATCCTCATCGCCGCCAAGGTGCGGCAACGGATCACAATGAGTGGGTGCAAAGGTACGTTGGCTTCATTCTCAGGATTCATTTTTACGGCGTTCACTGTTTTGTGACACGAACCGTAAAATATTGGAGGTGCCCCTCATCCTTGACAAAGGTCCCTAGCAGTGTCACTTGCACCTCTGCATTCATGTGCCATTTTATACTCTCAGGGTCAAATTTATATTCCGTCATCTTGCCGAAGATCTCAGAGGCTACCTAAGAAAAAGCTCGTGCGTGGGGTATGATTTACTTGCTGCCGCAATGGTCACACCTACTCACACAAAAAAAAACGAAAAAAAAACCTGCTTTATTAACGAACTCATTAAGTTAGTTTTCCTTAATTTGCGAATCAGTGGATAGTATAACAAAAGGGTCCATGACACGAACGTGTAAAGAGTTTATGGGTTTGAGCGAAAAACAGAAATTATGGCCTATTATGCTTGTGCATGTATCAAAGGTAGACCATGAAAAGTATTGCAGCGCAAGACAAGCCGTAAAGGTTGCCGACCGCAATAACTCCTTGAGGGTGATCGGTTACTAACTTGTAACCGATCACGCTCAAACTAGTAACTCGCTTTGAGAATGATCGGTTTCTAACTGAATGTTAGTGGGTATAACCTCGGCCACGGCGGTCACATTTCGATGGACGCGAAATGCTAGAGTACTGTGCGATGTCAGTGCACGGTAAAGAACGGTGGTCGAAATTTCCGGAGCCACCCACGGCTCCTGTCGGGCACGAATTGTTTTTTTTTTTTTCATTTGCATCTATTCAGGTATTTACATGTGGCCATATTGTAACGCGCTTTTAGGGTCGAAGCTCTTTATAGCGGCACCGTTCGTCCCTCGTAGCCGTTGTAATAGTGTGTAACTAGTATAACATTTCGACCTCCAAGGTAGTGCCGGTAAGAGATTTCTTCTGTGCGTTGTCGAACAATAAAAGGTAGTGCTCAATGTGCATGCCAATGGCTGCTAAGGGGGAATGAGAGACAGGAGAATTCGGCTTTTAGTTAGCGCGCACGCTGCAAATTTTTTATTGTTCAACAACGCACAGAAGACAAGAAAGGGTTGCTACGTTATACTCGCTGGGCGTAACCTCCTAGGTTATAGAAAGGTTTAGCGAGCGTTGGGCCGCAGTGCCATGAATACAGTGTACTGGTACATACCATCAACTCGAGGTGGTTAAAGGTGGGAAGTAGACACGAAGCGCAAGCCGTAGCAAAGTGTGCGTGTGCCTCCTCTCATTCAGTCCTTGGAACGTCCGCTGGATGGCAGTGCTTCTATATGAGGAATATATGATGAAAAGATGCGAGATGGTGGTACTTGGAGTGTTGAATAAGTGGACGAGCGGACACACAGACAGATGCAAGGACGGACGCACAAATGAACGTGCGGACGCATGAACAGACGCACGCATGGACGGGCGGATGGAGGCACGGGCAGCCACACAGACGCACACATATATGGACGGAAGAAAGAACTAATGGACAGATGGATGCTTCGCCGCACTATCCATCATTCACTCCGTGAATATGCTGCCATTTTTTTTTCAAATATAGTGTCTTGAGGGAACACTGTGTTTGAGTTCTTCTATTGGTAAGGGGAAAAATTCATCTATTTGCTCTTAATACGCTTTCCTCCTCGTACATAACATGTGTATTTAAGCAAGAAATGAGAATGTCTCCAAATGCAGGTTTTTTTTTTCTTATATGCAGAAATGCAGCATTACATACGTTATAACTACTCATATATTGTGGACAATTTTTTCCTGAGTGGCTTCGCACACAGTTAAGAAAAGGTCCACAGTTTCAAAAGTAGTATAACATATTTTTATGAGATTCTTTATCTCCTGCCCTGTCTAACTAGCGTACCTCCAACTTCCACTGCACACTCCGTAATGATATAGTACTCGTCAGACTATGACTGTTAGTGTGAATGCTCGGGCTGGTTTCCTCGTTAAGAGCCGAGTATTCATTCTGAAGCGAGACTCTAAATTTCTGTACTTTTCCTCTCGGTGCTAGATCATTGATTCGCTCTTTGCGTATCAGTTTCTGTTGTCCTTTCTTCAAGTCAAGGTGAATTCGAGACCTTACCATTCTATGGTCGCTGCGTCATACTTTGCCAAGCACTTCCACAGCCTGCATGATACCTGGGTGTGCACTCAGTATAAAGTGTACTTCGTTCTTACTTTCACCATTAGAGCTCTTCCACGTCCACGTACGGTTCACTTGTTTTTGTTAGAAGGTATTCAAGATCCGTAAAATATTGCGTTCTGCGAACTCTACCAATAACTCTCCTCTGGAATTTCTAGCATCGATGCCATAATCCCCGGTCTGCCTGGTGTCTAGCCTGCTTCTTCCCTACCTTGGCGTTAAGGTCGCTTATCAGTATTGTATTCCGCATTTTTATCTTGCCCCTTGGCGATTATACGTCTTCATAAAAAGTGGGTATAACTGGCAGCAGCAAGCACAGGACCGAGTTGACTGGCGGAACAAGGGAAATGATTTTGTCCTGCAGTGCACGTAATCATCTATATGATGATGATGATAACACATTGAACGCTTCACAGGTTCTACTCTTGGTCATTTGAGAAGAGACATGGGCGTCTTCAGTGCCATGGCAGTGGTCGTGGGACATTGTGTTGGTGAATACAAAGTATATGAGATGCAAGAGAGGACTTGTCCTGTGTCTTTCGCTCATCCTACGTACGTGGCTTTAGCGCTTACATAAGTTATGCAAGAAAATAGTTCCATGAACATTTTTTTGGTGATAACACTCGTTATGTGGCTTTCTCACTGCTACTGTTTGTGTTCCCAGAGTGGAATAGAATATGCGTAATACAGTTACCTCGTTATGTAACGTACGGCCTTCAACAAATAAATCTAATGGCAATCAGTCAACAACAACTTCGTGTTCAAGCTGCCGTCGTTCCTTCTATACCGCGTCATTTCCTTGGCCCATCTATAGTTAAGGTCAATTTTGAAATGGGATTTCCATGTGACCTAATTTAACTGTGAGTAAAAAAACGCGAGGAATATATTACAATAGTCAACAATTAACTAGTGAAAAAAAAATCTGCTGAACAAATAAAAATTTTGGTACACTGGCAGTTTTCACGTTACGGGACACGTCACAAACCAGCGACCAGGAGTGGGAAGACGCCATTGCTAGCGCTGCACTGAATATCTGAACGACTGTCAAGAGGGCCCGTAATAGAGCATAAAGGTATAATTTTCCAATACCAACACGAAAGCAGCCAGCGGCTGCTCCCGTGAGGTGAGGGCCCCTGCGGGTCCTTTTCGGCTAGCCCCTCCACACTTGATTAAAGTTCTTTGACTGTCTGCCTTTGTGTCACATTGGTGTTTTTACAGGCATATGCGGTGTCGGATTGACAAGTAAAGAATTGGTTGCGTACCGACGTGGGTGGGGAAATCTCGGCATCTCAGATGGCTCGCGGTTGATAAGTATGCGTACTCTAATGCACACATAAACGAGTTTTGCGCTGTTGAATACTGCAGGTGCTGGAATTTTCATCACGCCCAGTATTGTTTACATGCACGCCGGATCCGTGGGTGTCGACCTCCTGGTATGGACTGCGGCAGGAGTTGCATCTCTGATTCGTGAGCCCATTAAACACTGCCTATCTTTTTGCCGCATGCCACCCTTCATGTGCCCGCTTGCTGTCTATCGAGTAGTTTTATTGTATTAACGTTAAAGAGTTCGTTTCACATAATTACCGGTGTCGGCTTCAGCATAACATAATTTAAGTCAGTTGACGCACTGCCATGATTAAATACACATATATAACTGACGGACACCGTAGTTCAGTTGGTAGAGCATCGGGTGCATGATTTGAAAGGCACAGGCTCGATCTCTGCCAGTGGCAAGTTATATTTTCGTTCTCTGTACTTTCTTCTGACTTTACATCATAGTTAGTACAAATATCTCATATACCTTCCTTAGCAGCCTTGCTACGTCGCAGATTTGACCACCGCCGTGGTCAATTGCTTTGTAGCCGCTGGGGACTCAGGGCCGAGGGCATATTAGCGTATCCATGTGGGAGATATACTGCACCTGTGTGTCTAATCGTCTTCTGGTGAGAGAATACAATCACAAAGAGGATTCCAAGATAATGCTAGCGGGTGAGGCGGAGCTAGGAAGTTAGGTGGGCAGATGAGATTAGGAAGTTCACAGGTATACAGTGGCAGCGGCAAGCACAGGACCGAGTTGACTGGCGGAACATAGGAGAGGCCTTTGTCATGCAGATCTTTCAGTGACACTTTCTTTTCCTGTACAACTTTCCTACCCCCTCCTCTCTTCCCCTATGCAAGGTAGCCTTCCTGTTACAGCCCTGGTCAACCTCCCTGCCTTTCTTCTTATTCTTTCTCTCTCTAGTGAACTCTTTACAATCCACGTGATTGCGACTTCAGTACAAGCTCAGCGCCCATTCAATGATGTTCTTCTGCCTTTTACACCACTTTCTCTTTTTCTGGGGCAAATGGAACGACCTGAACAACAGGAATTCGCCGAACCTGATTTCTCAGGCCACCTTATGACGCTAAAGCTGTACTCACACGACGGACGTGATTGTGGACTCATCAGTCACGCAACACGTGACGTGATTCTGATTCTTGTGCAGCTAGCATTCACACGACAGGCGAGAAATTCACGCCACCAAGCGAGAATTTCAGCATTGACTCCCGAAGATTCCCCCTGTAATTTGGACTTCCATCGTTCCACAAATCGCTCCGCACGGACCGAAGCGGGGACGCGGAAACGAAGGACGTATCGTGGCGTACTACGCAATCCCCGGGGCCGAATGGCGATTTCGTCCGTTCTGTGAATACAGCTTCACGAGTGCCGACAATAAGTGCGTCAGTAGTTTCAGCTTTCGATGAAGCGGAAGGTGTAACGTCTTCAAGCGTTCATGCCTCAAGCTGTGAACTCCGCCTCTTACAAACCCTACTGCTCTTACAAAGTTTTGAGTGTGTGCATATCGATTATTGAGTACCAGTGTTACGTGCCTGCTGATGCCATCTTTGCGCGGGATTCAGCATAATTGTTGCGTCCGGGTGTACGTTAAGCCTTCTAAATTCCACAAAAGTTAAACCAGGGTCCTTGGTGTCAGTCGTTGGCATATATATGTGTCAGTCTGCGTCATACGGTGCTAGACAAACATCAATGGACCCTGCGAAAGCTGTCGTGCACCAATGTACAATACAGAATAAACTATACTCCATTGGCAACATGGTTAAGCTTCGTGATATTCTGCACCTTGTACCGAATGAATCAAGCATTTATTTCACTGTATTTACTTCCGTAACACACTTTCACAAAACACTTTATCAAAAAATTTACTTCTATCTGTTCAATTAACTATTTTCAATTTAAAGCATCCCGGCATTCTGTTTGCCTTTACCGCTGGAACAAAGCTGGATTTATTTCCTGTCGTGCTGATTACTGTTACCATGGTTTTATTCCGCACACATAAGAGAACGTGAACCGCTTTCCCGTAAACATGACCATCGCTGCCGGTAACAAAGTTTTTTCAACCACACCAGAGAACGTAATATATACTGGAACCGACAATACTGTGGTAATTGTTTGCTTCGTTTTTTGTTTGTTTTTGCTTTAACTTTGTTTTACTCAGTTTCTTCTGTAATGCATTTGGCCTTGAGCATATCAATAAATCAAATGAAACGAAAAAAAATCGACATATCCTGCGTACATTTGAAATCAATGTTATGCAAAGCATCCGCATGAAAGTTGACTGTGTTGTAATTTTTAGTGAGCGAAACGTTGCGAAGTGTCGCTAATGATATGTACAAATGCAATCACAGACATACGCAGAACAGACGCGTATGTTTTCTATAATCAGTGCACATGATTGCCTAACGATGCCAGGAGCAACATGGATATTGCCACGCTGCTTTTTCAAGTTTTGTTATCGCACATTTACACGACGATATAAGTGATGCCTTGCGCAACCACGCCGGTTTAATAAGAACCATCGAGGTAATCACCGAACCTTCCTATGCGATTACACACACAACGTGAACATTATAGATTCTTCTGGATTTTACGCGTCGGCTAGCGATAACGCTGAAAATTCACATGTATAAATTCCCACGTGCATTCCGGCTAGTTGACAGCCGACGCTCCGTGCGCCACTATCGGTGACAGTGTGTACTACTGAAGTGCGACCATTAGTTTTCCAGTCACAACTTCCGACAACTAAATAGTTTCTTCTTTTTTTTTTGCCTTCGGAGATGTCACCACCACATGAAAATATTAGCAACTCCAGAAGCGTAAGCTAATATAAAGCGCTGGTGCTGCTGATGATTGTAGCCCTGGACACTGCTACATGAATCAACTTCAGTGGATGGCTTCCAACTCCAATCGAAGTTAACTCGATGTGACGGCTGTGTCATATGAGTACATGTGTAATGTCTAAATAATTGGATAGCCAGCACTGCAACTCCCATTCACGTTTCAGGAACATTGAAAACTATTTGAAAAGTAGTTACGGGACATGGCATGACTCTGTCGTTGAATATTCGATTACCACGCAGAGTGCTTGGAATCGGTTCCTGGCGAGAGCTTGACATTTATTATTTGCCTTCCTGAGGTCCACGCTACCGCGATGTAAGCTTCTTCTTAACGCTTACGCATTAGAGTTACCCTCGTCTGCTCTCATCATTTTTGGTAGATAAACTGTCAACCACCTGTGGCACATTCTCGCATTCCAGTGGCACTTATGACCCCGCGGCTAGGTGCCGCAGGTCTGGCAGAAAGGGTTACTCATTTCATGACCAGTGACTCAAATTCCACAAACCGTCTTGCCCTCCCTCACTAATTTTAGTTTCCTCGTAGTGAGGGTATGATCACGAGAGCACCCAGACGTAGTAGGCAGCCAGATAGATAGATAGATAGATAGATAGATAGATAGATAGATAGATAGATAGATAGATAGATAGATAGATAGATAGATAGATAGATAGATAGATAGATAGATAGATAGATAGATAGATAGATAGATAGATAGATAGATAGATAGATAGATAGATAGATAGATAGATAGATAGATAGATAGATAGATAGATAGATAGATAGAGAGACAGACAGATAGATAGACAGACAGACAGAGAGACAGATAGATAGATAGATAGATAGATAGATAGATAGATAGATAGATAGATAGATAGATAGATAGATAGATAGATAAGATAGATAGATAGATAGATAGATAGATAGATAGATAGATAGATAGATAGATAGATAGATAGATAGATAGATAGATAGATAGATAGATAGATAGATAGATAGATAGATAGATAGATAGATAGATAGATAGATAGATAGATAGATAGATAGATAGATAGATTCTGAAAGTTTTACAGCTAGCAAAGAAATATCTCGCATTTAATATAGCTATGTTATACCCGCCGCCGCATGAATCTCTACCCATAAAAGCTTTAGGCGTTCCAAATATCCTTAATGTCCTTGTCACGAAAGGTGAAGTTTGAAGTATCAGTGTCCTAAATTAGGTAAGAGATAAGACAGTTCTGTACATGACTCCTCATCATCAGAACCGGGACCACACGTTACAGCTTTTCCGTTTATTGATCTACATGATTGTCTTGGGCTTCAATTCTTGGAAATATTAGTGCTCCCCGAACTAACCATTGGCGTTTTGTAGAAAAACCAAGGTGACGCATGCACGAGTAAAATATCACACAGCATTTTCGCCGTCAAATCTTAATGTTCAGAGGGGCTTTGTATGGCTGAGCTTGGTACAATGCTACCCTTCGCTGGTGGGCCATACGAATTCGTCAGCGTCGCAGCCGAGTCCATGGGAAGAGCCGGAGATATCCTTTCATTTCTGTTCATCTGGGTCTTCGTCCTCCTGGACCCAGCCGCCGTGGCAATACACGCCTTGACATTCACGAGCTACGCACTCAGTGGTGTATACGGGACCTGCAGGCCACCGTACGCTGTTACAGCTTTGGTCACCGTAGGTGTGATCGGTGAGTAGCGGGATTTGATTTTGAAAACGTCCGTATACTAAATGTGTGGTTGTTTATTGACATTTGCAACGCAGAACTTGCAGCTGTTGTGAACACCTTGTCTCTGAAAGCGTCCATGAAACTTCAGAACATGCTGTTCATAATAAAGATTGCGATTCTCCTGGCGATCATCTTCACTGGCATCGCATGGTGTTTTCGGGGCAAGTACGCACATTTAAAAATTTTACTAAGTGTTTATAAATCGATGACTATTTTACTGAGATCGCTACTTTAATTTGTGATGCGTCATAGGTTACACCAATATGCCTCTGACAACAAGTATATATGTTGGCTTCGGAACTGCGAAAAAAGCGTTCTGTTTCAAACCTCTGTTACAGAACCAGCATTGCTTCATAAGTTCACGTTCGATGGTCCGACTACGCCGGTGAAGATAGTGGAATCATTCGCCGTGGCTTTGTTAACTAGTGCAGGAAGGTAGGAGCGTTTTAAACTTATCATTTATCAGTTTGCGTTTGCACGATGAAGAGACATGACTTCACGCGTAGGAATATGTAGTTCAGGAAACTACGTAATCAAATGGCGTCGTGTCCAGCTTACTTCGCGCTGCCCCATATTGGGTGGCTCATGTGCATCGTTAGAATCACAATTACAGCCTGCCCACTGATAGCAGAATCCATAAAAAATGCGGATATAAAATATATTTCTAGCCACTGTACTAAAACTGCGCTGTATGAAAGGAACGCACTTAGCAAACGTTTTGCCATTTGTGGCTTTGAATGCTGGTATTACGATATATGGCGTATTCAAAGCCTAACGCTATACTTCAACAAAAATAGAAACGCTAATGTCAGAATAATTAAAAAGTTTACGGGCCAAAACAATTTTGAGAATTTACTTGCTAGTGTACCACAACCTAATCATCAGGCATGCTGTGGATGCCGATATCCGGATTTCAACGCATTGCCTATTCACACAGCCTTGTTGGTTCAGCAAATTTTAGCGCAAGGCGACACCACAAGACGGGCCGTAGCATTTTGTCCTGTCTTCTGTCTAGTGGTTTCGCTTTGCGCTAAAACAGCGCAATGGGTTTACTTACACCAACCAGCCCAGCCGCAAATGCATCGTGATTGATACAGACTTATGGGCCAATAATTTAGAATTGATTGGAAGTGCATTGCAATGAAAGTGTCTCCAAAGCATAGTATCTGAAGAGTTAAAACAGTTACGTAAATGGAGGCATGCGCACTTAGCAGAATCGTTTGCATAAATGAGAGTTCTGTGCTTGTATTCTTCAAGAAGTAAATAGCCACAAGTAAGCGACCATCTTGCACATGGGTTTCTTTGTGTTCCTGCGTGGTCTCGTTGGTAGTGCCAAGCCTTACTGTTGTTGGAAAGCCCACAAGGCAAGGTTATCTAGTGTTACTCAGACTTTTCACCAGTAGTCGGCGCTTCAGTGCATAGTTTGATGTTGATAGTGACTCCTATCATTTTACAGTTCCATGGTCGCCTGCATGGCGGAAGAGATGACCGACCCTTCCCGCACAATCCCACGCTCTCTTCTGGGCGGCACTCTCCTGGTGACCACACTGATGGTTCTCACGAACGTGGCCTACTTCTCAGTTCTGGACTTGCAGGCGCTTGCCGAGTCGGAGGCGACGGCGGTCATCTTCGCCCGGTCAGCGTGGGGGGCGGTGGGTGCTCTCCTCGTGCCCGTGATCGTGTGCGTCTGCACTTTCGGAACCATGAGTGCTGCTTTTCTCAGCAACAGTCGACTGCTAATGGCGGCGGCCCGCAAGCGGCATTTGCCTGCGGCGTTCGCTCTCATTACTGTGAACTCCTCGCTGCCAGTCGTCGCCATCGCGTGCAGATGCTTCATATCCTTACTCCTCGCTGTCACGGGCTCTGTGGCCTTTTTAGCCAAAAGTGGTATGATAGGATTTTGCGTGATGGTTTTTCTGGAGATGACGGCGATGCTCAGGCTGCGTGTTACCATGAAGGACGCCCCCAGACCAATCAGAGTGCCCACGTGGCTCATATTGGTGAACATTGCCATTTGCCTCACGATTGTCCTGGTCCCGCTCATGGCGGCGGGGGAAGTCTTGCCCTACGTAATCGCGGTAGGGAGCATACTGACGGGATTCCCCGCTTACTTCGTCTTGAAGGCACTCCAGCGTTCAAACTGTGGAATCCAGGTGAACAGATGTTTGCAGAAAGTGACGTTTGGTGTACCCAGTGTCCGGCAGTGATGTGCAAAGTGTGGAACTGCGTGAACATATTGTTCTGTTTTTTTTTTTCAGCACACGTTTCAGTCTAATATATAATAACGCGACAGTCTTGTGAAGCTTATTTCACTAATATTCCGGCGTCACTGTCAGCATCCTTAGTTCGTGATTTAGAAAATGTAACATTGCCCGGGGGCGAATGTTCAAAAGGTTGCAAATAAATAAAAAGTGACAATTCTTGGCACGAGTGAGATTTGTACCAAGGGCTATTGTGGGGCAGCCCTTTTCGCGTAGCTATTACAATTTGTGATGAATTTTACATCGAATTTCTACCATTTCTACGCATGCCTGTTTTGTTGTATTGCTCTGAGAGAACTGATGACTCCATAAATTCGGCAATGAAGTGAGACTTCGGGTAAGCTTTAACAAAACATACCTTCTAAATCAGCCCAGCGTGACGAACACCCTAGCTGGAAAGAGAGCAAGAACTGAGCCTACAAGGAAACTTTTTGCCAAAGAGCCTAAGACCTCGTTCATCCCATCTCTTTTTGTCGCAGTATCCTAATGAACCACAGGTTTGTCACATGATTTGGAACAAGTCAGCGCAATAATCTCAGAAAATGCTATTCATCTAGAGTTAGAGCAGAACCCAACGATGGTGAATCTGTTACTACAACCACCGAAGTTCTTGAATACGTAAACCTTCGCAAGGCTAGAATGACAGCCCAGAATTCAGCCGAAAATACTGATGTATAATCAAGGAGTCTTACATAAAAGCACTGTATGTGCAAAACATTGCGACACCAGCCTTTTGCACTGACTACGAAGGATTGTTGACATCTGCGAAAGCCAAGCTACACTATGCGCACAGTTATATGTGTGCATTCAGGCATATTTCAACTCATAATTAGATGTTTGAGGATTTGGTCACCGCTGATCCGGTCCACCGGTATCCTTGTGATCTGAGTGTTGCTCGATATTGGGAAGCTCCGTTGAGGGGAGCAACTAATTTGTCTGTTTTAACAATATTATCCAGATATTTAGGTGGAGAAAAGCACGCTTCAATAATGGGGCACGCGGCAGAAGAGGTCTCTCGAAATTCGGGCCAAGCCATATTTTTTTAACATGCACTGGTATCACACAGTACATGGGTCCCAAGGGAATTGCATCCTTAAATAAACGAATGCCGTGACTTTGGCTGAATACCCGACCTTGGGTTCAGCAGCCGAGAATTGTAACTGTACCAACAAGTGTGCCCCCCTCCCCCCCCCCAAAAAAAAACGTTTTAAGCGTCCTTGCTGCTGTTTTACTCTCCGTCAGTAGAACATGATAATACAAGGAGAGTTGAGCGATGTCTCACTCTCTGCTTGCGTGGCTTCGCAAGGATGACCGTACCTAGTCGTCTGTTAAGTGTTTACCCTAAAGCGTCAATTCAATCACGAAGAAGTGTTTGGAAAATGCCAAATTAATAATGACGTAGGATGCTTCAGTTACAGGATCAAAAGTAAAAAAAATTGCAGCCATTGTGAGGCGGGTCTTCATGCCTCATTGATAAATTTAGCACCGCAGCGTATACTCCATACTTGGGGCACTTGAGGTGAACGCTAAATTAAACTTCAGACATGACAAAGTAATCAAACATAATACGAACATCCCTATCACTCTCGCTTTTATTATTGAATATAAAAAGATTTACCGTGCCAAAACGAAGCAAGGATGCGGCCCCTTTCGTTTATGACGAGTGGGAAAACAAGACGCGCATTACGTCGTTTAGCTTGCTCTCTCTCTCTTCCTCTCATTCAATAAAAGCAGATATCTCTGAGCCTGTGTTGCCATCTATGTTTTAAACAGTACAACACCATTCGACAAGCCGGGATTTTCAATATCGTCTTCAAACTTTGCTGAAGATCTATAACGAGCAGAGGTTGCTACAGGCGAAAAAGGCAGGGTTGCCTGCGACGAGCTCAAGCCAACATAAGCACTTAAGTGTTTAAATATAGTGCCAAAAAATATTGTATTGCTCTGACAGCCATTGGTATGCATTCATTCACATGACGGCTCCGGCAAGTATACCAGACCGACGAAAATCACCCACCCGTCAGAGAGCATATAGCACGAACAAAACATTATATGTCGTGTCTTCCTACAAGGGTGAACGAGAGAATAAAGTGGACCTCAGCTGGAAAAGACTCCATTCTTCTGGAGCTTCTTCCCTTATACGTCTACGTCCATAGGCGTGAACACGGGTGGAGGGGAGTGGGCAGCCCCCCTCCACCTAGTCACCTAAGAAGGGGCTGCAAAATCATACCCACACTTTGACTTACTAGAGAGAGGGGCACTGTGACTCGAGGGCAGGGCACAAAGTCAGTCATACACATTGACATGATAGGAAGGGGGGAAGCGCGCTGCGACAAACTTCGCCCCTTCCCTGAAGGGGCAGCCTGGGCATGCCTCTGTCTACATTTTAGAAGAGTCGGTAGCCTAGTACTACTGCCCTAAGCACATTTCGAGAAACTTTCAAAAACATATCCCTTCTAGGAAACATATGTATACCCCAGCCGTGGTGTTCCAATGATTCTATAGACTGCGTTGAACTTGTAATTGCTTCCCCGACTGGCTGGTCTGCTTGTTTCTAAAATGGGTGCAGTGGAGTATTCGCATCGGCCTGCCTACTACACTTTCTCAACGTGCACAGAAATCCTTCCGTTGCACGTTACGATTCCGAACCAATGCCCACATCAGCAGCGGTGGTCATCCGGAGAAGACCGTGTTAAAGACTTCATCTTTCTTCTAGCAGTCTTGCTGGATCAGTACAATAAACCGCGTACTGAGCCAGCAAGACTGCTACCAGCCATAGCCCTGGTCCATCACAGTGTCTGTGATTCATCTATTGAAGTTTCCTGCGCTGCACATTGATCTGTTATCTACAAGCCATGGCCACAAGCTACAGTGCACAGCCATGCAGCATGGACTGATATCATCCAGCAAGAACCCCGGCTGTCCACCTGTTTTTTTGGATCAGCAGCGGACTGCAGTCGTCCGGAGCACACCGTCTTAAAGGCATTATTTCAGTACACGCAGTGCCACTCTCTAAACCTCCCACTGAGCCAGTAAGACTGCTTGCGATCATAGCCCTGGTACGATGATCCATCATGCGATGATCCGATGGCCACAGCATGCGATTATCCATCTACCAAAGTTGTCTGTGCGGCACGACGAAGCGCTTTCTTCTGACGACGGCCGTAAGCTTCAGTGCGCATCTATTAGGCGCAAGCGATATCAACTATCAAGAAACGCCTGGTCCCTTTCTTTTTCACATCAGCGGCGATGGTCGTCTGAAGCAGACAGTACTAAAGGCTTCTTTCCGTACACGCAGGTTGGTGCGTTCTACGAACTCGTTTAGTAACAATTTAGAAACCGCCGCTGTCAACTGTATTCATGCATTTTTCTGGCTGTCTTCTATCTTTCAGTCGCTATCTTTTTGATTGCATTAGGACTGTAGCTCTAGCGAATTCTATGCGTCTTGGGCAAAACCACTTCCCACTCTCGGCGGCTTCCTAACATGTTGCGAGTGCAAGAATGCCTATCACCAATGCAAGTTCTCAAGACTTACTGAAGCGCAAGCTGAGAACAAATTTGAAACTTTTTTTTATTCACGGAAATGCGTGAGTTTATATTCGCAGTGCCTGAGGGGGCAAAGAGAGCCAAAAAAAGGAATAGCCAGGATGCATGTGCTCTACTAAATACTATTCTATAGCGGCTTCAAAAGCTCGAGCATCTTCCAGCGTAAGTTGCAACATTTATAGAGTTATCTCTAATCTATCTGACAAGTGTAATGAGATTGTAAAGTTTATGAGTCAACATGACGCAGAAATAAAACAAACCTAGGCAAGGGCATGGACGTGCTTGAAGTCCGCAATAGCCCCGCGAAGATTCAAGAGCTTAAGTTTACAGTGAAGGATCTTGAATTAAAGGAGCCGTAGACAGAACTTAACTTACTATGCAATAGCTCAGTGTGACAAGGAAGGTATACTTTTTAAGATTAGCTCTGTTAAGTCATCTTTAAGTCTTTGTGTTGAGAATCTTTCAATGTTTGTGATCTTAGCCTTACACAGGTTACCGTCAAAGTCTGGGAGCGTTCCAGGAATAATTGTTCACCCTGCCTAACTAGAAACAAAAAAGGATGATGATATATGGTGTTTGACGTCCCAAAACTGGAAGCAAAAAAAGGAATGGCTGCAGAAGAGTAACAACTTCAAGAAGAGTGGTCTAAAGTCTGAGTCACCGAAAACATGACACAGTATGAGAAAATTAGGTGCAATCTGCGAAGCAATCGGTAGATTGCAATCGCTTTAAGCATGTATGACACCAGGATGGCAAAGTTCGTGTGTGGAAGGCTGACGGGAAACGGGTACATGTTATTCCATGTGCAGAGGATTGATTGATTGATATGTGGGGTTTAACGTCCCAAAACCACTATATGATTATGAGAGACGCCGTAGTGAAGGGCTCCGGAAATTTAGACCACCTGGGGTTCTTTAACGTGCACCCAAATCTGAGCACACGGGCCTACAACATTTCCGCCTCCATCGGAAATGCAGCCGCCGCAGCCGGGATTTGAACCCGCGCCCTGCGGGTCAGCAGCCGAGTACCTTAGCCACTAGACCACCGCGGCGGGGCTGTGCAGAGGATTTGATGTGGCTAATCACGTATTGACAAATTTTGAATATTAACAATTTGTACTTCAGGATGAGTTTCTCGTATGTTTCTCGCAATAAACTTACCAAACTTTTTATTATGTCTACTTCATCATTGCTGCATATTAAGAATCAATCAATCTGTGGTGACGAAATATTCTGATAACAAGTTTTTTTTTTCTGAATTCTCTTGTGAATTTTGAGTAGTAGTGTTGACGAAATCTTAGTTGTCAGATAATGACTGTTTGACTCTTGAAAACTGATTCTGTTTATTTGAGTCACGCTGAGAAACGTGGTGGATGTGTATTCTTGCTGTTACTGGAACACAAGCAAGCCGACGGGATTCAACAGCTACACTTGAATTTCAAGTTCTGAGTGGGCTTACTGGAATAATCTTTCGGGTTTCATTTTGTTTAGTTTGAGAGGGTTTTCAATTTGCATGTCAGTGCAAATACACAATGTTCTTTGGAGGTTATCTGATAATTTTTTTACCGCGGGAGAATTACCGAAGACACGCACAGTTCTCTTCTTACTGAGACTTATTT